AAAAATTAAGGACGACTCAGAACAACACCAAATTAAGTTTGCATAGGGTTCAGGAGGTGGGCTAACGATTGCAAGCATTTAAAACCTGTTCCAAACATTGTAAGGCACTTTTAAATGAGCAAAAACGGACTTCGCAAAGCCACTGAAATGTATTGAGTCAGCTTCAATACATTCCAATGGAGGAAACATTGTTTCACACAGCGATGTTTCCTATGGGGATTTTCACTCAGCGATGGCAATCCGTTCCAATTGGAACGGTTTTCAATGCATTCCTATGGGAAATGGTGTTTCACAGAACGATGTTTCACACAACGTTGATTTTTTTGGAACCAATTAACATCGTTGTGTGAGGCACCACTGTATAAGCAAAAAAGAAAATGGAATAATTGTCCAAACTTTTAGTAAAAAAAAGTGAAGAGAAATCTCTCATGTATACTGTAAAACCAGCTTTTGACACAATGCCACCACAAGTGTGTTTCTTTTTTCATCAATATGGGAATTTTGTAAGCCACTTTATCAAAAAAGTGCTACATAATAAACCTCAATAGGTAACATCTAAAACTGTAAATAAACAAAGAACTAAGAAAAAATTTGAGGAAACAAGTGTAATTTTAAGGAAGTGTTTTAACATACACTACAGATGTTACCTCTGTTTTTAAAAAATGGAAAGTGTGTTTCAGAATGCTGTTTTCCTGTCAAGTACAAGGTTGCTTATAGAGTACTGCCAGATAACAAATACAGTGGACCCTCAACTTATAGACGGCTCAACTTACAGACTTTTCGAGTTACAGACTTCTCTGGCCGCAAAATTTAGATTTGACTTGCAGCCGGAGAATCAACCTACAGACCAGAAAAAAACCAAAATGGAACAAAAATAGAATAAAAACTGCCAGTTATGGGATTAATTGGTTTTCAATGCATTGTAGGTCAATGGAGATTCGACCTACAGACTTTTCGACTTGCAGCCACCATTCCAATACGGATTAATTCCGTAAGTAGAGGGTCCACTGTAACCAGCAATTATAGAGGCTGGGAATCGGATCTCCCAATCACAACTGGAATCTTCTCAAAATGACCTTACAAGCAGTAGCCCTTATGAGATTACTGTGTGTTTTGAAGGACTACCATGCACATCTGGACACAGGTGTCCATACATCTGTTATTCTGTGCCTGCTTCAACTTCAGCTTATTGTGAGTTGGATACATTTTCTAACTGGACTTCTAGACAGAATGAAGTGGACAGCAAGAATGAATAATGCCTACCTGTATCGTGAACATGCAGGCCACTCTCCTCTGTACTCAGACCACAAGAAATTGAAGTTGGTAGCACATTATCTGGAGCCGAAAGAGCCAATACAGGAGGTGGTATTTGATTTTCCTGTCTGGGGATTTCTTTTTCATTTAAACACATAGTGTTTTGTAAAGGTAGGGCCACTGTACTTTTTTCTTCCACCAATACAGAATCTGCAAGGAAATTAAAAACAAACAAACAAGCCAATCCAGATTTAGATGAGAAACAGAAAGTTCTAGATTGTTGACAGAAGTTGCACCACACAAATATAACTCTATAGAATAAGTCTGGATTTCTCAGTAACATGGGGCTCTTATTACCACTATGCCGGATGAAATTCAATTGTACATTTGGGCTTGCAAACTACTAAAAATATATAGTTCTTACAATTTCTCAAAAACAGGTGGGCTAACAAGAACAACATGTTGGTTTCATTTGCCAGGATAACAATCCAACAGAAAATATAAAATGGCATCATCTATGTAGTGACCAAGCTTTGACAATACGCGTATGGAGAACAATTCTATGAGAAAGCTGTATTTATGAACTGCTAGATAGCTCAATGGTTTAGATACTGGCTGGGAGTTTGATTCCCCACTGTGCCTCCTTGACAGGGATTGGACTTGATGATCTACAAGGTACCCTCCAGCTCTGTAGCTTTAAAATGATGATGATGATGATTTATTTAAATCTAAACACCACCTTTCCACCCCATAGGGGACTCATTTCAAACAACGCAAATTAGTCCATCTCTTCCTTGCTCTGCACTGCACTGCTAAGTGACACTTAGCACAGCCTCAGTTTGTGTTTATGGATGCATTTTAAATTCAGAATTCCATCATAATTGCTCCCAGTCATTATTTTAAATGGGAAGGAAGGCTTTTTCATCTCAGGTGTTAAACTTCAACTTGGGAAGTTCCACAGGGGTTGCATGCCAGTAGTGAGCACTTGATGATCCACAAGGTACCCTCCAGCTCTGTAGCTTTAAAATGATGATGATGATTTATTTAAATCTATACACCACCTTTCCACCCCATAGGGGACTCATTTCAAACAATGCAAATTAGTCCATCTCTTCCTTGCTCTGGCTGGTGATCACTGCACTGCTAAATGACACTGTAGTTTGCTCTGGTAGGTTTCTTATTTTCACCAAGATTTAAAGTGAGGTTCAGGTGAAACCGCAGTTTTTGAGCACAGACTCAGTTTGTGTTATGGATGTGTTTTAAATACAGAATTCCATCATAATGGCTCCCAGTCATTATTTTAAATGGGAAGGAAGGCTTTTTCATCTCAGGTGTTAAACTTCAACTTGGGAAGTTCCACAGGGGTTGCATGCCAGTAGTGAGCATGGACACAGAGAAGTGGGTGGGACCAGATGTAATCAGACTACTTTCCGCCAGGGGTACAAAGCAAATTAATTAATATCCATTCAGGCATAAATGCCCATGCAACCATTTACTTGCTTGCAAAGCATATTCAGTTTTACTTAATTTTTAAAAGCCTCACTATCTCCCATCATTTGTTAGAGATAACTGCGGAAAAAGCTTGTCGGCTAGATGGTAAATCCTTAAGGGCCAGTTCTAGCCTACAGGTTCTCCAGTCATGCTTTTCAAAGAGGAAGAGAAGCCTTCTCCATAAAACAAAGCATTTTGCATTTTCCTGTTATTAAACAAATCTGATATTCCTTTTTAAAATACACATAACTGTGCCTAAGAACTCAAGAGGTTCTTCAGGCCATTAATGTCTGTCACTTAAAAGAAACAGAAGTAAAAACTCTCCAATAAATATATGTCAGAGGTAGCATGCAAATCAGAATTACCTGGGAGCAGCAGGCTGGCTGGTGTTAGAAACTGATTTCTGATGAGCAGGTCCACCAGGTCACTGACAGTACAGTTCAAGGTACCCCAGTCATAAAGCAATTCACAAGTGGGGCTCTTTCCTACTTGCTTTAATGCTTCAAATCGCCTGAAACAAAAACAGAAATTAAAGATGACCTTGAAACAGACATAAAAAAGATGAATGCAAAAACCTGAATGAATGCAATGTCCCAAAAGGGCAGCTGGCATTCCAAGGAAAGGCTGCGACTATGGGGCATCAGGAGAACATATAAGAGACATTTGTTCCTTAGCCGTTAAGTTGTGTCCGACTCTTGTTGAACATAGCACGGAGAGACAAGGCCCTCTTGTCTCTCCTTGCCATTCTTTGGAAGTCTGCAATCCATTTTCTGTAACTTTCCCTATCTCCTTTGCATTTTGTTTCCCTTCTCTTCTCTGCTATTTGTAAGGCCTTGTTGGACAGCCACTTTGCTTTCTTGCATTTCCTTTTCTTTGGGATGGTTTTTGTTGCTGAATCTTGTACAATGTTACAAGCCTCCTGTTACATACAGCACTGATGT